CCATTTTTCCCTCAAAAATCTAAAAAAAACAAGCTTTTTCTAGCTGTTAACAGCTTTTTCTCAGATATGTCATCCAGTTTTGTTCAAAGTTGGTACAGGGACAGGTAATAATTGTTTACAAGTGCACATCGCATTATATGTTTAACAAGTTATAAATTGTCTCAGAAAAGCCAAATGAATAAATTTTTACCCCACCCCCTAAAATTGTAACACATCAATTCTGAACATTTAATAACAGAATTTTAATACAGCTCATAATGAATTAATTCACTCTGACACAAACTAAGTTCAATATAAGTTTTTAAATTTTTTTCTGAGCGGGGGCTATGACATGTCATGTCTTGTTTCTCATTGATTTTGGTATATATCGGTGGAGCTTTCAGCAGGCAATGCAAAAATGAATAATCAATCTTTCTTTCATTTTTCAGATATGAGTTTTTTAATGATTTATATCATCGGTTCTTATTAACCAATAAGATTCCAATGAAATGTATGTGTCTACAAGCTATGACAATTGTGTACAGTAAATGTTATGAAGAGATTGGTGCCTTTAATGATACAAAGTACATAGTCGGCATGCTAGAAAGGGTGAGTATTTTTACAAAGTACATAGTTGGCATGCTAGAAAGGGTGAGTATTGATACAAATACATAGTTGGCATGCTAGAAAGGGTGAGTATTGATACAAAGTACATAGTCGGCATGCTAGAAAGGGTGAGTATTGATACAAAGTACATAGTTGGCATGCTAGAAAGGGTGAGTATTGATACAAAGTACATAGTCGGCATGCTAGAAAGGGTGAGTATTGATACAAAGTACATAGTTGGCATGCTAGAAAGGGTGAGTATTGATACAAAGTACATAGTCGGCATGCTAGAAAGGGTGAGTATTGATACAAAGTACATAGTCGGCATGCTAGAAAGGGTGAGTATTGAAATGTATGTAGGAGACTTACAAAACAATGAATGTTTACATAGTGCTCAGTTTTTGGCTCCCCTGTATGCAATAAATGTACATATGTCTGGTGTCTGACTGCTGTTTGTGTCAGTGTTAAATCTCAAGAACCACTGGCTGGATTGAAATGAAATTTGGCACACAGCTACTACCGGTATATCATGAACACCAGACAAGAATATATTTTGGTACAAATCAGTGCAGATTTCAGATCTCATTACTTTATGGACATACTGCAGTTAAATTAACTGCTTACAGGGAGTAGTGAGCATGATGTCAGTGAAGACGGAACAATAATATTATTAGCACAGAATGCACATGTGCAGATTCATCCCATTACAGACATGTTACATTTAAATAAACTGCGTAAGAGTGAGGTGAGCGTGTTCTTGGTAAAGACTTTATCCTGCATTTGTGTCATTCAGTTCCAAAACTGCTTACATTATACAAATTGTACAAATATTTTGAAGACATTTTCACATATATGTATTATCCTGACTACTGCACCATTTACAATATGTGAGTGACCATGTAATCATTATATGTTTGTGTTGGTGAAACATTAATTTATAAATAAAGAAAGTCTCATATAGAATATTTTATTGTTTTTTTGCAGAGCACTGATAAACTGGAGAGGGATCGGTTGATTGGATTTCTGAATAAATTAATTATGAATAGAAGGAATGTGAAAGAAATGATGGATGCTAATGGAATCAAAATACTAGTAGATTTATTGACGTTAGCACATTTACATACAAGTAGAGCTACTGTACCACTACAGGTATGGAAATTATTGCAATATACAATATAGCACATTATAAGAGAACATACACGATCATTCAACTGAACATAGCTTATTGATGAAACATAGACCACACTACATTACAGCAACATAGATAACTTATTATTGCAACATAGAACACAACATTGCAACATAACACAGTATTGAAACATAGTATATTGTAAGAGAACATAGCTTTCTGTTGAAACATAGAACATATCACATTACAGCAACATAGAATATAGCTTATGATTGCAACATAGAACATTGCAACATGCTACATTATTTGGCGTTATAAATCATCAACATTAGCATAGCTAAACATAATGTAGTCGAATTGACTCAAATAGTATGAACATAATACATCACAATATAAGCATTGAATTAGTACATCCAGCTTATTGTGTTGCTTGACATGACGTGCACATTCACATAATTATAGGCTTATGGACACTAGTGAATATAATTAGATCAGAACATGACACATTTTTAATACAACATTAATTCTGGTTAATTTTAGACAAATGTGATTGAAGCATCACCAGACATGGAAAGAGACACAGAGAAGGAATGGTACTTTGGTAATGTTGAAAAGGAAAGACTTGGACCGTATAGTTTTAAAGAGGTAACCATAGATGACTTCTCTCATTTTGTACTTCTCTAATGATATGATGTTGAAAAGCACATAACACCCAGGAAGCAGTACAACTGTCACAAATTCTCACTTTTGTAGAGGAAGAGGAATTGGAAGAGGCTTGTAACAGCCATAAATTTCAATATTTTACATCTCAATTTCACGATGTTAACGATTTTTGAATTTGAGCAAATGAAATTCTCACTGATGAATTTGTCCCTGAGAAAATAACAGGTCAGAAAGTACCAGGATGTGTGACCTATATGGGTCAGAAAGTACCAGGATGTGTGACCTATATGGGTCAGAAAGTACCAGGATGTGTGACCTATATGTGTCAGAAAGTACCAGGATGTGTGACCTTTCTGGGAAATGCATACAGCATATTTAGTCCCTGTTCGGACGAAGTCCGAAAACGGGGACTTATAATTCGTCTCCGTCCATGCGTCCGTCCGGAGTCGTATCTCAGAATCCTTGGGCCGATTCCGTTCATTCTTTGCATGTGCGTAGTACTTTTTGTGGGACATATGCACATGCAGTGGTTTAGCGATTTGATTCAAAATGGCCGATTGGCAGCCATCTTGTTTTTTGAAAATAGTGTATTTTGGACATGCTTTGGCAGTTTTCTTTTAAACTTGGTACATAGATTATACATGTTAGGATACATGTCCATGACGATTTATTTCACAATTGGATCAAAGATGGCCGACTGGCAGCCATCTTGTTTTTTGAAAATGTCGTATTTTGGACATGCTTTGTCAGTTTTCATTCAAATTTAGTACATAGATCATACATGTTAGGATACATGTCCCCGGCAGTCCGTGAGTTCCTGAGTCTGTCCGTCCGTCCCTGTGTCCGTCCCTCCGTCAATGCGTCAGTCTGTCCAGAGTCATATTTCAGAATCCTGTGGACCGATTCCGTTCATTCTTTGCATGTGCCTAGTACCTTATGTGGGACATATGCACATGCAGTGGTTTAGTCATTCGATTCAAAATGGCCGACTAGCAGCCATCTTGTTTTTTTGAAAATGTTGTAGTTTGGACATGCTTTGTCAGTTAGGATACATGTTCATGATGATTTATTTCGCAATTGGATCAAAGATGGTCAACTGGCAGGCATCTTGTTTTTTGTTTTTTTATGCGGTATCTCTTTATGCGTGCTCTGTCAGTTTTCATTCAAATTTGGCACATACATGTACTTTATACATGTTAGGATGCATGTCCATGACAATTTGTTTCAAAATCTGGTCAAGGATGGCCGATTGACAGCCATCTGACTTTTTGGCCTTACTACTATA